AAGTACAGTTTTATTCATGATCAAAAATGATTACTTTTCAGGTAACAACTGGGCTAAAGGTCATTACACGGAAGGGGCTGAGTTGGTGGACTCTGTTATGGATGTAGTACGCCGTGAGGCTGAAAATTGCGATTGTCTACAAGGATTCCAACTAGCTCACTCTTTGGGCGGTGGAACAGGATCTGGTATGGGTACTTTGTTAATATCGAAAATTCGAGAGGAATATCCAGACCGCATAATGAACACATTCAGTGTCGTTCCATCTCCGAAGGTATCAGACACTGTGGTGGAACCCTATAACGCCACACTGTCTGTGCACCAGTTGGTGGAAAACACGGACGAAACGTTTTGTATCGACAACGAAGCATTGTACGATATTTGTTTTAGGACCCTAAAATTGACGTCACCGACTTACGGCGATCTCAACCATTTGGTCTCTGTAAGTTATCTTTACTTAAAATTTAAATGTTAATAAATACTGCATCAATTGTATAAAAATATTTCAGTTGATATAATCGTGTTTTAGGTAACTATGTCTGGAGTGACAACATGCCTTCGGTTTCCTGGTCAGTTAAATGCTGACTTGAGAAAATTGGCCGTCAACATGGTCCCATTTCCAAGGTTACATTTCTTCATGCCAGGATTTGCTCCACTTACAGCTAGAGGTAGTCAATCTTACAGAGCCCTTTCAGTCCCAGAACTCACTCAACAAGTGCGTAATTTGACGTCATAAAATGTTATTGCTAAATATTTAAGTATTTGATTACCATTTATATTTATGTGACAGATGTTTGACGCCAAGAACATGATGACTGCTTGCGACCCTAGACACGGGCGTTACTTAACAGTGGCCGCCATATTTAGAGGGATAATGTCCATGAAAGAAGTCGATGAGCAAATGTTGAACATTCAAAATAAAAACTCTGGGTACGTATAGTCAAAAACTAATGTTTGCCAATAACTATATTATTACTGGTAACATAAAATTAGGATACTTAAATAATAATAATCATGAATTATAAATTTCTTTAGATATTTCGTAGAATGGATACCCAGTAACGTAAAAGTCGCTGTGTGTGATATACCACCCCGTGGTCTCAAAATGTCGGCAACATTTATCGGTAATACAACAGCCATTCAAGAAATATTCAAACGCATCTCCGAACAATTCACAGCCATGTTCCGCCGTAAGGCTTTCTTACATTGGTACACCGGCGAAGGTATGGACGAAATGGAATTCACCGAAGCTGAATCTAATATGAACGATTTAGTATCCGAATACCAACAGTACCAGGTACCATAAACCATCTAAATATCATTCTAATATTTTTATAATCATTATAACTTTGTAAGAACACTATACATACTTGTTTGTCTCTGTTATAAAAAAAAAACCCCCGTGTAGAAAATTTAAATTCAGAAAAATCCATTTTATTCTATTAGTTTCAATAGTATTGTAATATATTGAATTAGTAACTTGCTAAATTTAAACGTGAGAGTATTATCTAGCAATCTATGTTATCTCGAAGACATTTATTGATGATTTAATTTCAAAGTGAGTTATAACTGTGTAAAATATCACAATATTTATAATGATTGTAAATTTCTTCAAAATTTAAATATCATTAGAAACTTACATGACATCATTGAGACCCTTATCGGCTAAATCAGCGTTTCTTAACCTATATTTAGCCGTGACACACTTGTCACTGACATTGTAAATTGTATGTATACATATTTTTTTTTATAGTAGGCTTTCATCATATTAATTATTAATATCAAAGTAGTTATATATCAATATATTACTAGGAAACAATCTAAAATGGTGTGTTTATTTAAGATAAAAAAAAAAAATAATATTACAATTTTATAAAAAATCTAGTCTTAATGATAAATTTGGGGCTGTTTTCCCTTCATTATGATTTATGAGCTTTTTTCGTGGTCGAATATTCACACCCTCATGTTGTCTTTCAAGTTTTAAAAATATTTTAATAAATTACCGAAATTTTAGGTAAACGTTTATTAATAATTGTAAAATTTCACAGTACACCTATAATGACCTTACATCACACCGGTTGGGAAACATTGCCCTAGATAATACTTCTTATTATTAAATTCAAGTAATTCATCTTTGTATGCATTTTCTGAACGTAAATCTAGTCTATTGTACGTTGTAGCGTCCTCTAATTTAATACAATACATCATAATATACTATGTTTTTAGTTTTTATTCATAATGTACTGTAAATTATGACTAATAATAATAGTATAATGCCCATTTTAAATGTTTTAAAATTTCATATATTATTATAATGTACTTATGTATAATATTTAATTATATTGTCGATAATTATTATTGGAAAATGACGATTTATAGGTTTGTCAAGATTTTCTCTACTATTATATTATAATTATAATATTTACCACGTTTAATATTTTTTTCCGCAGGAAGCGACAGCTGAAGAAGTTGAATTTGATGATGAAGAAGTTGTCGAAGAGGTCGATGACAACAAAGAGTACTAAGTATTGTGAACTGAATATTATGTACATTATTACTATGACGGTTGTTCAACTTATGAATTATTTATGTTGTACGTTGACTATATTGAGTTTTAAAGTTTTTAAACTCTAATTGCATTTGTTAAATGTTGATTAATTTGTGTCGTTAGAAATTTATAACTTTTATTAAACGAATGCTGTTTTCGAATAATAATTATATACCTTGATTCTGTATTGTCAACCGACGATCATTACCAGGTGTCAATGATGAACATTATTAATATGAACATACAATAAACATTTAGCCTATAATATAGAATAATATTAATAGTTTTACAGTCCATTATTTAACAATGGGTTTTAATTCAGTGAACCTTGTATATAGTTATATTTTTAATACACCGTAATACCGTATTACCGTTAAGATGATAAAATATTCAACAATTGTTGGCGTGCGGTTATAGTAGTCAAATAGTTATTTAAATAATAACCACTCACTACTAATAAAATGTGAAAGATAACATTGACTTACTTCTAACACGGTTTTTAAATATGATTACCGTGATTATGAGATCAAATATTAGTACCTATAGTATACTTACTACCTATTATGGACTTCTGGTGTAGAGATAATTGCAAGTACATGTACTTAGAGAATATCTTCTCTTCATCGAACACGTCATACTTAACCTAATACTATAGTCGTGGCCAATGGTCCATGGTAGCAATGGACTAAGCAGAATGGAACTAATAATCATACGGTTATGACTAGTGACCTCAGTAATTTAGATTAGTAAATAACCGTGATTGTGACACACTCGCCTCCATGAGTTTAAATAATACCTATAAAATAATAACAATGTAATAATTGTTTTTGAATACTTTTATTTATGTAGCGCTACACTATTGTCACGATCATTATTATTATGTATCTTATTTTCAAAAAATGTCCATTTATTGTTTTCAAATATTAATCTGTTTCTGGAAAGGATTCTAAATATTAATATATGTGAGCCTCTACTACTTACTATAGATATTATAAAATCGTGCAAAACCTAAATTAAATCCACGAAAGCGTTGAATTTGCAAAAGAAATTGATACGATTATCAATCTAAAAAAAAGCACCTGACTAAGACCAAATAAATCCAAAAACGCGGAAAGAAGTTCCCAAAAAGACTATGATTCGTCTAACATACATCTACAATGCTACCCAGCATGTAGAATACGTTCATAAATAATGGAAACGAGCCCAAGTAATTATGCCGTTTAAAGCAGAAAATCCTTAACCCAGGGACTCTCCACTGGGTACTGTCAGTGGTACTTAACCCAAACATGTTTTTATGTATATATACCAGAATATTTATTCATTAGTATTAATTATTTATGTACACCATTGAAATGTATTGATGAAGATCATTTTGATCGTTATAATAAAAAAGTCTTCGGGTGAGATTTAAAAAAAAAGAAACTTAATTGAATTTATAAATTATTTAAGTATTTAAAATTTGATTTTAAAATGTTAATATATAATGTAAAACTATAAAATTTAATTTAGAAATGCGAACAGTTTTCAAGTACTTTATCGTGAATTTAAATCAGATTCAACAATTTTATTGAGCAAATAGTTTAATCAATACAAAATTGGCGAGATATCAAAACTGACTAAAAAAATAAAACTCAAAATAAATAATATTTGTTCAGCGCGCACAGTACGTTTTTGATATATGAATATTGAATGTACATACTGGAGCGCTCTTCTATTGTTTTAACACTATAGTGAAAGTCTTAATAATTGCCTATATTTAACTCCTTAAACTCGGTACAAAAACATACAAATTATTCTTTTATTAGTTCAATATTAAAGTTTTTGTACACTATGGTTAGCAAACAAATTTCTTGTTTTATAAAATGTATATATTTAATTTATAATACAGATGAAAATTCCTAACTGCAATCACCAATACTGTAATTATGTGTAACAAACATGGCAGAGTCTGTTAAAATTATAATATTTATCGTAAAAAACCAAAAAGAACATTTAATATTTGTTTAAGGTTCATTAAACATTTTTAAGTCCTAGTCTAGTAAAACTTAAAATTACTAAAGTTATGATGTCTTTATCTTTTCATATATACACAACAATATTACAGTAATATTAATATAATTTTTTTTTTTTTTAAATAAAAGCATCATTAAATTATTATAGAGCAATTTTTTTGATTTCGAATGACATCTAAAAATCAATTTTGTAAATATTAAATTCAATTTCATCATGATTAAAAAACAATAAAAAATGTTTATTTAATTATGAATTGTTAAAAAGTTAATTTTTATGACTGAAAGTTTAGTTCTTAAACCCAAGTCAAAATAAGATAATTTCTTTTTCACTATGTCTTATGTTATTTTTCAATGTTTTTGTTGTTAACCAAGACAAAAATAATTTACGTCATTTTAAAAATGTAATGTAAAATATCATATCTGATAATATTATTTTATAAGTATTAAAATGTATTTTTATTTATTTATCGTAATCACATAAGAAATATCATTCAATAAAAATGTTTTTATTTAAATTTGCATTCATGGTTTTAATTGTGATGCCTTTTTGTATATTACTGCACCAGGATCAAGTATGTTATAAATCACAGTTTTTTTAGCAGCAGCAATTGTATTACGCATTAACATTGCTACTGTCATTGGACCAACTCCTCCGGGTACTGGTGTTATATATCCTGCAACTTCTTTCACTTTTTCAAAGTCAACATCACCTACTAGATACGATTTGGACGTTTTTGGATCCTCTACCCTGGTTATTCCTACATCAATGATGGCTGCTCCTGGTTTAACCATATCAGCACGAATTAGATTTGGAACACCTAATTTATTATACATACATTCAGAGTTTATTTCAAGAAACATTCATATTTTAAGTATAATAACCAATATTACCTGCTGCTGAAACAATAATATCAGCTGTTTTTGTAAATAAAGCTAATTGATCCGGTGGTGTATATCTATGGCATATTGTTGTTGTTGCATCCATTGCTGATGTCTCACCTTGGTTAATGATTTAAAATAAATTATAATACCATTCAGTTCACATAATTAACTTAAACTATTGATATTCTTATACTATACACACAGTATTCATCAAGTTTTATTTTTTTTTTTTAATTTATAATTATAATGAATTAAAAAAAAAAAAAAAAATGATGTGAATTTGTCAATATAAGGTTATTTATTATCAAGTAATAATAATTATGGTGATTTTTATATTTACCATATTTGTAATGGCCAGACAAACAACAATTAACATGTTATTTTTTTAATTATTTAATACTTTAATATATAAATATCAATATATCATTAAAATATGGCACAGCAAGGTATACGACATGTATGAAACATATATTAGTACCATAATCATTTTATAAATAATTTAAAAACATGAGTCAATTTTAAAAATTGAAAAATGTCTTGAGCAAATGTATTTTTAATAGCATATATTTTTGAGTTATAATTAATATGTAATCTGATTATAAGTTAAATTTTAACTATACCTGCATTATCTGCATGGAGCAACATAGAAATAGGCATACCAACATTTTTTGATCTTCCACAAACAACAGCATTTTTACCAAAAGTAGGGATTCCTAAAATAATATATATATTTTTTTTTAATTTGAAACTTAAATATTCAATTTTTAAATGTAGTTTACCAGTTCGTCGAATTAATTCATGAACACCCAAAGGTGTACATGGTCCCAAACATTGCATGTCTAAACAAAATCTACCAATATTAACAATGTTAAAACCATCAACATCCTTGTGTGGTGTTACAGCATTGCATAAAGTTCGTTCAGTAATATGATCAGGAAGTGGTAACTAAATTACATACAAGTTCATAATATACAAATTATATTGAATATAATATTTAAAAATCTATTATCAGAGCAGACAATTTTATATTTTTTTTTCTATATAATTAAATATGATGCTAGAGAAATTGAAATTATAAATTATAACAATGTAACCAAAAATAAATTTTCTTTTAAGGTGTATAACCTATAATTAAAGTTTATACTATGAATAATGTTAAAATATATCACATGTTTATAAATAATAACAATACAAGTAGTCAGTAAATTTTCTGCTATGAAGTGTTATAACTTACCTGGACTAGAATTCCATCAACATTTTCATCGTTATTTAAACTTTTAATACATGCAAGTAGCTCATTTTCACTTGTTGATGCACTGAACTTCATAGTTTTTGTTTCGATACCTAATTAAAATATATAGTTATAAAAACAATAATTATTTAATTTTTTTATTTTATTGCCATTGAAATAATGTAACAACCAACAACTTTAGCAGCTTTCATTTTATTTGACACATAAATTTTACTAGCTGGGTTTTGTCCAACTAATACTGCTACTAAGCAAGGAGCCCGATTTCCTTTCAAAACCCATTCTTGAGTCTCTTGGCGTAGCTCATTTAATATAGTATTAGCAATACTTTTCCCGTCAATTACTGTAGCTTTAAATCTAAAAAAAATATTATTTTAAGTGTTAAATTATATTTTTTCTTCAAAATTCTAATCTTAAAAATATGTCAACTAACAATATTAGTTTATAACCTTTGTAAGACAATAAGGCAATAACAATTCTTAATTTTGAGGATACACATATGTAGTTGGTATTAATGAATATTGCATTTTTGGGAAATCAAATGTTAGTATCAAAAGGAGGAAGCTAAGCTATTTTAACAATTGCTAAGTTAAGTTTTGTATTACCTAATCTATAAAGTTAAAAAGCTACAAAAACTTTTTTTACACATTTTTTAAATTTTTTTTATACATGTTATACTAATTCTTTTACCAAATTAAAATATCAGAATGATTATTAATAAAAATTTGTATTAACTATTGAGTACAGTTTAGAGAAATGTTAAGTACCAAGATAACTGTTATGTGCTTATTTAAAATTATATTTAAGGTTAGATTTATTTACTGAATAATTTTGAATAATTTACCTGACGCTGGAAGAATGAAAATTTTTAGTAAAAATTTTTACACCAGTCCAATATCTGGTATGCATTTTTAAAAATTATTTAAAAGTAGGTCAGTAAAATTATCTGTGAAAAAAAAAAATATTTAAAACATACATATCAATAACCACTATACTCTCAACTAATTTCTACTTACTTATTAAACATTTGACCTATCAATACTTTATACTATCAAGTAGAATTGCATAAGTATCTAAATACATATTCGGAGAATATTAATTATTTGCCCACTTTCTCAACGATTCATAGATTACAAATTGAGATAATTAACCATTATGTTTATTTCAAAATTATACATTTTAATTTGAACATAATTAATCGAATAATATGCCAAATGGCACCGACACCACGAGGAACGTACAATTTGAAAACTCTATGATAAATGATAATCTAAATAAAAAATTTCGTGATATCGCTTATCATAATAATCGTGCATAGTCGCATAGTATACTGTATAGTGTACACGGAATACACAACAAGCGTCGAACGCTCGTCAGTTGGTATAAAAATATTCTTCGTTTTTTAACTAACAACTAACAAGTAGTGTTTGAACCTTGAAGGTGGTTGTGGCGAGTTTTGTATTGATAACATGATATCCATTATCCAGTTGCGTTATTTTATCCTGTCACAACTGACAACTCACAGGATTTCTCCTAACCTCATTACTACACCAACATTAATGTTACCAAAATTCCACTTTTCAGTATAACATACTTTCACTATTTATATTCGCTTTTGTAAATTATAGTTTAAATATCAAAATTAATACAAGTGCCCTACATATCTAAACATTTTGTATTACCTATTCCTATAGTTCTTGTAATTTATTAATTTAATATCTAAAGATTTAAAAATTAATAAACTGAAAAATGTTTGTTAAAATAAATAATTAAATTAGTAAAAATATAATAGGTACCATAACATCATTACGATTTATGATTGTCGATTACTCATTATTACAATTATGAACTATGAAGTGATAAATTTAAGATTTTCAAGAAGAAAAAGTATGACTTTTGACTGTTATGAATATCAATTATTATAATAATTAAAATTAATGAATTATATATGTTATGGCCGTTATGGGTAATGTTAACATTTGTATAACATCAACATTAGCCGTGCCTTTTGGCTAATGAGAAATTTTTCACTTATAAATATGAAATATCAAGATTATCCGGATAATATTAATGTTAATCAGTTAATATTGGTTGATGTTAAAAGAGTAAGAGTTTTGTTAGTATTATGTATACTCTTACAATAATATAACATCGTACTGCTAGAGCATAAAAACTTATCTTATTTTATTTTAATTACAATTCATCTTATTTATCGAACGAAAAATATTTAAATACAATTAGTAAATTAAAAGTCGATAACAAAGTGTTATACTTTGATTCTTTATTTAAAATAATATTTCAAGAAATTATTTAAAATATAAAATAAAATACTCAATTTAATGTTTTTATTAATAGATAACTTATTAAAAATAAACTCGTATTATTTATTAATAATAATTGTATAACATTATATTATAACTATACCTAATGTATTTAATATTGTTGATAATTTTAAATTTTTTTATCTCATGCATGAAACATTTTTATAGTTGTAAAGACATTACTACATTGGCCAAAATTTAATAATATTCATGGCGAATAAAGATAACATATAGGTAATATTAAAGTTAAATTATCAGGCTAATGTCGACATTATCCAAATGCTAACATTACCCGTAACATGTATATTTCTTTATTAAAAAAATAAAATATTGCCTGCATTTCAAAATAATTAGGAAAAATAATATTATAAAATAGGAACTTTTATACAAAACCAATTTTAGACTTAAACTTTACACAATGTATTTATATCAGCCACGACATAATTTTCAAAATATTTTGATTATTTTTAAACATTTTAAATTAATTTTTTTTAGTATATGTATTATAATATCATTTTTGTTTATTAATAAAAAAAGTTTTAAAATGTAATACAATGCTCATCGAAAATTGTTCTCACGACAATATAAAAATAAATAAATATTTATAAATAACCTAACTTGATATTCGAAGAAAAAATGTTTACGAAATTAAATATTTAACGAAATATAACTAAATAGTTGTAAAAAAAATAAATTGTTCTTATTAATAAGTTCAGAAATACATTTTAAGATTTCACCATTATTCTATCATATTATCCAGCAACTGTACTGTTACTAGTTTTCTACAATGATTAATAACATTTCTGAGACATCAACATTTTTTAAAAAAATTTGTTCAAAAGATGATTAAAATGTATATTTAATCATTGAATTAAAATTTAACACATCCATTACAATGATCCACTCAGTCACTCGAACAATAACGTGTTGCAGAGCGTTACTAACTTGCTCACTATTTTAAAACCATATTTTACTTATATAAATAGTGCCACTAATGTATTTTTAGTTACGTATTTTATAATAGTGTTAGATTTTTAGGATTCGGATAGGCCTCTAAACGTACAATGGACGATAAAAATTTTATACTTTGAGAGCATCTAAATTCTCTTATCAGATATTATCAGTGTACCGTAAAGTTTTATTATTTGGATAACAAATATTTATTTATGTTTAATATTGTTCATTATTCGTACACAATATAGTATTAACTTTTTATTTAAATAAATTAAAACTGCTGAATGTACCGTTAGCAGTTCAAATTATTTTATTCTGTTCGTCTCAACTTTTTATCATTCCTTTTTAGTGAAAAATCTTAACAATGTAAGTATGGCAGTCAGATTGACATTTTATATTACGTTTTATAACAAATGTTATGTATTTCAATGTTTGTGTAATTACTACTTATAAAAAAACGGATTTGGAATGGTATTGATTGTATATAATTTTCAAAACAACACGTATTAATATTTAATATTATACTAAAATTTAAATGGACTGTTATAATATATTATGTGTAATGTTCAAATGCTACTTACTCATTGATAAAAATAAGTATTTTATTTCAAAAATCATTAAACATTTAACAATACTTTTGTTAAAATAAATACTATATTTTTAATCATATATCTATGAGAAAGAAGAATTTTTTTAATAAATTTAAATAAAAACAATTTTGATTTACATTGAATAAATTATTGTACATATATGTTTTTATCTTTTTATGACTATATAAATTTATTTTTGTATAGGGCTGCTGTAGCAAATAAACCAAAATCTGAAATGACTCCAGAAGAGTTAGCAAAACGTGAAGAAGAAGAATTTACTACAGGCCCTATGTCGGTGTTAACCCAATCTGTGCGTAATAATACTCAAGTATTGATAAACTGTCGTAATAATAGAAAGCTTTTGGCAAGAATCAAAGCATTTGATCGACATTGTAACATGGTATTAGAAAATGTAAGAGAGATGTGGACTGAGTTACCTAAAACTGGCAAAGGCAAAAAAAAAGTAAATACTTTACATTTGTATATTAACTATTTTAATTAAAATGAAAATTTAATTTTATTAATTCGTTTTAAGCTAAAGCAGTTAGTCGAGATAAATATATTTCTAAAATGTTTCTTCGTGGTGATTCAGTCATTCTAGTTGTCAAAAATCCTAAAGAAGCTGTTCGACAACAACCACCAGCCCCTTGAAATGTATTACCCCTTATTGAAAATTAGATTTAAGATAATGTAATTATTGCATTTAAAGTATACACTCTACACCCATTACTTGAGTTGATATTTATTTCTTTTAATTGATTTCTTCCAAAATACTATGAGTGATTTTTAATAAAATATATTTTTGTTTTTCATTCATTCATAAGGTTCTAAACAATGTTATTTTTAAAATTATATTAAAATTTTTATTTTTGTCAAATATTTGACAAATAATAATTGTTTGGTACTTCTGGTGAATGATAAAAATGGTAAAATGAAATTGAGTGTATAAAAAATCACATAACTATGATACAGAATTACAATATATGTGGTAGCAAAAGGGTTTATTTTAATATTGTTATAAATTCATAACAATATTGACAATATTGTTATTTGATAATTATATTGTGCTTTTTTCAGATTATAAATGCTAACAAATTTAAAAATTATTTAAGTAGATTCAATTAAAATAGATGTAAACCTAACAATTAAAATTATGCTGTTTGTTTTTTGAAGTTATGTAATATAATCAAATATTTATTATCTTGAGTGTCATCTATAGTAGTTCACTTATGTGCATTTTGTTCGTCTATCAAATTTAATAGTTATTATTATTTAATTTATATTATCTATTATACATTGCTTCTTGTAGATATTATAGATACTTAATACAAGATGAACTCAATAATTGTCATATTTTGATTTACCATTAAATTAAAGCAGCGTTTTTTAAACTTTTTTATCCGTGGAACCCTTTCTGATGTCCACTCTTATCGTGGAACCCCTAGTTTTTTTTAGGCTTTTAAGTTTTTTTAGAGTTATTTGCAATAAAAATTATAATTATAGTAGGTATAGAGTCTATACTATAACCATAAACATTATTATTTAATATACAAAAATGTTTTTTCCGCTAGCCACTAATAATCTTAAGTTAGATATTTTAAAGTAATTTTCTTGAATATTTAAAAAAAATTACTTAAGCTTCACGGAACCCTGAAGTGATCTCTGTGGGGAACCCCGGGATTCCGCGGAACACAGTCATAGAAACGTTACATTAATGATATACCTTTTAAAGTAACTAGGCATACATCTTAGAGAATAATTATTTAAGATCTAAAAAATATACCCGACTAATATCCATGTCATCCACGATATGATCTAATGATAATGATTATTCAGTCTAAATTCAAAGAAAACAAAATAATTAAATTCTTTACAGAAATTGTCAATTGATAAATGCATAATGTAAATTTAAAACAATCTAATTGTTCTTTATTATTTTATGGTATTCGCAGGGCCGGCGAAAGGGTGGAGCCAGAGCCCCGGGGCCCGAGCCTCCAGGGCGGCCCATTGTCTGAGGCGTATTTAGGCACAGTCGTACAGTCGCCCTATTATGCCTGGGAGGTCAATTTTACTAATTTTTTGAGTAGAAAAATTATTTTTATGCAAAGTATATGTTATATAATTTAGAATTACAAGTTAAGCCGTAAACATTCGCGTCCGATCGCTCAAAATTAAACAGCTACATGAAGCTACTGTATTATACACATACCTATTACCTACGCAACACAGTACAAAAACTACGAAACAATATGCACAATAATAACAAAACATACGCGCATTCAATACAAGTTTGATCAGTGTATTCGTCTAATCGATTTTTATATAGTGATATAGTGTGTGCTATTAATAAATAATAATATGGTTGAGATCTTTAACTACCTATTATATTATTTGTCAATGGTTTTTTATCGATAATGACTGACTACTTGTTTAATAATAAAAACACAGTGTATCACATAATAATATGTCTGATCAAATTTTTACGTATTAGTTGTAATGAGTAAATGAAGCATTCATATAATATACATCGCATTCCGAAATTATCTTTATTTTCTTCAAAATTAATAAAGATTATGTATAAACCGATATTAGGAAAAAGTCCGGAAAAAGTCAGGGAAAAAGTCCGGAAAAAGACCGGTAAAAAGTCCGAATAAACGGAAAAAGTCGAAAAATTATATAAATAAATTAATTGGTAATATAAATAAAATTAAGCATAAATTTAGCCAACCGTTATTAAGCAAAATGTCTTAAGCGTATTATTTTTCAAATAATATGTTTAATCGCTCCTGTATACTCAAAGTTACTTATAGAACAGGACACCGTTAGTAGATTTTATTGATATCTCTATTAGGGCTAAGGGTATTTCCATATACAACTAAGTAAAGTACTACTTATAGTATACCTACGATATACTCCTTTCTAAGTAGTCAAACCACTTGTCTAGGCTTCATAGCGGTGTTCACAGTGAGATCAGTGTTTATATAATGTAATACAGCACTTTTATAATAATGGATAATTAATAAAATTAATAAAAATGGTAAAAATTATTTATGATTAGTTGCATATACAATCCAGCATAAACTACAAGCATAAGATCGGAAATGTTCAGAGTCTTCAGAAAAATGTCCTGTATTAACTACCAGCAAAATTATTTATAATATATTTAAATTTGTAATTAATTTATATTATATGTAAAAATATTATATAAACAGTTGAATCAAGCTTAGATGTGGAGCATTCTCGTATGATGATCACACATCAACATTGTTGAAAAACAAAGAAAATGAAAACCAGGTTATAATGTCAACAAATACCACCACTATCAAGTTTTGCGGGAAGTAGTCAGCAATTACCAAGGCTCTGAAATCCTTGCCAAAGCTATAAAGAACATTGCGTATTGTAAAGGTCAATCGCGTCAAAAACCTCAAATCCTATCAGAGCTAAGTATGCTGGTTGAAATGCATATAAAAATGAACGCTTTTATTGTGCGACAGTGGACCTGATTCGATGAACAGTGATATTTTTCTTTGGATGATGCGTTTGCGTTATATCACTGATACTAATAATTGGTTTGTGATGGCCAGCTTTTCTTTGAATTACGAACATTTTTACAACTATATGTTATAAGAGTAAAAGACGTATTTGTGACCACTGTTGTGTTTATTAGAAAGAAAAACAAAAGTACTTATATGTTTAATTGTTTATACAGAAATAATGCTGAACAGCATTTTCTCCTGATCAAGGTGTTACATATTGACTTTGAACGAAAACTATCAGGCTGCTCATTGAAATAGTGGATTTGAATTAAATACAGAGGATGTTTTATACATTCAAAAATGATGCCAGAAAATACAAAATCAGATTTACAAGTTGTACCACAAGTAACGACAGTTTGAGTCATTTTGCAGGATCATTGAACAGTTTAGCTTTTTACCATTACACAAATTTGCTGAAGGGTAAACTATTTAAAACTGTTGCCACAAGCTGATGGAGTTGCTGGGTGCTTTGTTGTACGCCGTCACGGTACGTATAAATTGGTTCGGGCAGATATTGCTCAAAACTGCGTTGATTAAACGATGTATCACCAGAGATATGGAATGCTGATCGACATTAAATGGGGAACATCGTACAAACAACATTTGTGAGCTGAATAACAGATTTAAACATGATGGGGCATAATCATCTACGATGTGGAAGCTGATTGATATATTTTGCGGCAGGAAATAAGTGTCGATATCGCAAAATAGAAATAAATGATATTTAACGTAAAAAGGAAGAAAAATACTGGAACACCGTCTTCAAATATTATGTCAACGATCTGAATAACGAACCAGATCGATCTGATAGCCTGAAAATATATCACATTGTTTAGTGGGAGTAGTAACGATTATGGCCGCATAAATTACGTAGCGACAGTAACATAATATGCACCTAATATAACATTAATAACTATTCTTGGCTGCCTAATAAATGTATTATTTTTAAATTATTTTCTCAGACTTTCCGTTTATTCGGACTTTTCCCAGACTTTTCGGACTTTCTCGGACTTTTTCCCGGACTTTTGCAGATTTACCGTATAAACCAAATATCATGTTTTTAGTGATGGTTCATCAAAATTTAATATTAAGTATAGCTACTGTATTAGTGTTATGTTTATCTTAGTCAAATATGAAATAACTATAAGTCCAGAATTGATCAGCCCCGAGGCCCACAAAAGTTCTCGCCGGCCCTGGGTACTCGTACTATTTGTAGAAATTTGTAAATGTCAAATACTCAAATACCATATTGCTCACTGAGCAGTGAGCAAATACAAATATTTTTCTACGATATTAGCAATATATTCGGAGTGTTGATATCGTTGTTGGAGTAACGACTTTTCGTGGCATCAATCACGTTTTCCCTATATATTCTGTGATAATAGCTTAGAATGCTTAGATCGTACGTGCTTGAACCTTGAACAGAATAATTAAAATGATGACTATAAGTAACTAAATTATTCTGTTGGCCATAAACCATAGTAAAATACTATAATAAGAGTAATAAGTGATCTAAGATAGATAGGCCGAGCAAGATCTATTAAGAAGATCTTGTCTTGAGGCCCGAGTGCCCGACGCGATTATGAATTTTGAATTATGATTAGCGTTGGTATCACCAGCTGTGCGAGACCTAGTATCAAAATATATCAGTGCACGAGTAGAACCTAACCTGTGCCGGTCCTGTGGGCTATATGTTATACCGCCATAGCAAAATGCCAAATATTGAAATAACTAAATGATAGAAACTGTTAATACATAAATGTCGTAAATATTGTTAATTATTATAAAAGTTAATAATAGATAGTTATTCGAATATTTTCATTATTATTGCTGTTGTTTATTTCTTAGTTTTTAAAGTTAATCGACAGTGATATGGAGCCACAGAAAGCATCAGAAGCAGTTTTAAAAAAAAGTCTAGATATTTCAACAGAAAATCCAACTGTAAAAGGTTTTACTAGTATTATATACTAATTTAGTTATTATTTTTAATTATTTAAATTTATTAGGTTATGATTGGAACAATGGAATTGACTATGAACAGTTATTGTCAGTATATCGTTATTCTGGATTCCAGGCAACAAATTTTGGATTATCTGTAGAACAGATAAATAAAATGGTTAGATGGTGAAAAAATATTATTATTTTTTATTTTACTTTTAATTTTTGCATAGTTAGATGAAAGAGAAAAACCATTTGAAGAAGATATTCATGAAGAAGACGAATTTATCAAGCGCCGTTCAAATTGTACAATGTTCCTTGGTTATACGTCTAATATGGTTTCTTGTGGTAATCGTGATTCAATACGCTTTATTGTCCAACATAAAATGGTCGACTGTATAGTAACAACTGCTGGAGGAGTTGAGGAAGACTTAATAAAATGCTTAGCTCCGACATTTATAGGAGATTTTCAATTAAAAGGTAGCACTCTCCGCGAAGATGGCCTCAATAGAATTGGCAATTTATTAGTACCAAATAACAACTACTGTAAATTTGAGAATTGGGTTATGCCTATTTTAGACAAGATGCTTGAAGAACAAGTATATATAAAAATATAATTATGATATTACTATTAAGTATAGGTACTTAATTAATTTGATGTTATATGCATTTTAGAATATTTCTTGGACTCCATCTGCAATAATTGAAAGATTGGGCTTAGAAATAAATGATGAACAATCAATATGCTATTGGGCAGCAAAGAACAAGATTCCCATATTTTGTCCAGCTTTAACCGATGGTAGCTTAGGAGATATGATGTACTTTCATTCCTTTAGAAACCCTGGTCTTATTATTGATATATTAAAAGGTAAGCTGAATAATGTTATAACGTATCACTTTTATCATTAATCATTTTAGTACTATCTTTAATTATTATAAATGATAAATGAATTTTTATATTTTTTTTTTCAAAGATTTGAGAAGATTAAACACAATGGCAGTAAAAGCAGCAAATAGTGGAATGATTATAATTGGAGGTGGCGTGATAAAACATCACATTTGCAATGCTAATTTGATGGTAAGTGCTTATTCATAGATTAGGTACAAGAAAAGTAATATCTGTACATTTTTAATTTCATGCTTATATTTTATTATAAGTAACTATAAAAATAAAATAAAATAAAATTTATGACATAAAATGCTGTCTAATGATATTTGTGTTGTTATTGGTTTTAAAAATTTGAAACAATATTTATAAATACTGTAATTGTAGCAATTAATATTCTCTTAAAGCTTGTCACACACTTATGCAAAATAAGTTTTTTTAAAGCTTTTATTACACTTGGCTGTTAGGATTTGTGCCATATAAACAAAAACTAGCTTCTATATATGAATAATATGATATTACAATTATCTCTCAAATTTAAAAATATATTAAAATGAATTGGTTAATTTAGAGAAATGGTGCTGATTATGCGGTTTATTTGAATACTGCATCAGAATACGATGGTAGTGATTCTGGAGCTCGACCTGATGAAGCTGTTTCATGGGGTAAAATTAGAGCAAATGCTTCACCGGTAAAGGTAAATATCTATACGTTGATATTAGTTCAATTTTCAATTTTCTAAAAAAAAAAATGTATTTGTTTAGATTTATGGTGATGCAACACTTATATTTCCACTTTTAGTTGGAGAAACTTTTGCAAAACGATATCATAAAAATAAAAAATGAAACCACAAAATATACTTAAATATTTTAAAATGAATTTTTTTATTTACCTACAAATATTTAGCTTACTTGGCTATAATTATTGACATTTTGATATTTTATATAAATAAATAAAAAAAAGTTAGTAAATCCATATCCATTAGTAATAACTTTGAAAAAAAAGAACAAATGTTTACATTAAAAAAATCAAAGTATATAAACTATACTATATTTATCATAGGATTTAATCTCTTAGTTAACAAAAACTGATTATGTCCTTCATATAAATAGCCTTTATTGCAAAAATAACTGTAGTCAAACGTGATACAAAAGTTGTGTATAAGAATTGAGATCAACTGTAGATCAGTAAGATAATATTCAGTCTTTATGTGCGAAAGGTGTTCACTCTTATTCTAAATAATTTAGGTTCTCAACCTTCTTATATCAGAGTATCACTTATCTATTTAGGAAATATTCTCATGCTATTTGACTTCATAATTTTTTCTAAATAAAGCAAGATATTTTTTTCATGTATCACAGTTTGAGAAATATTGCGATAGACTAAATAATATTTTAAGATCATGCATGTATACATTTTTAATAGAAAATTGTGATTTAAGATTTTAAAATGCAACTAATATTTTAAAATACTCAAATATCCAACAAAGAATAAAATAATACCAACTGAATATGATTGATGATTAGTGTATGTATATTTTATAGTTTACATAGAAAAAGACAAATATATAAAGAAACTGAAATCAAGAAAATAAATGATTAAAATATTTAATATCACATCATAAAAATCATTGATTATATACAATATACAAAGACTGTGATTTTCATAACAATAAAATATAAATGCAGTTAATGAAGTACAAATATAAAATTCAAATTCAAATTATCAAGAAAAATAAGTTAAAATTAAAACTACTTTCAACAGTAAATATAAATATATTAAAGAATATAAATAAAAAATGTAATTTGCGTTATTATAGTAGTAACAATTCAATCATCCCAATCATCTTCACCTTCGCTGGATTCACTGGTACTACTGTCGCTGTGAATAACTCTAGCTCGTTCAGCTAAAGCTCTAGCTAATGCTCCAGCTAAACCATCTGCTTCTAAATTATTGTTTACGTTTTTCTTATCAATTGGTTGCACCTGCAAATTTTAAAAAATATTGTGTTATAATATCTTTTAAAATAAATGCAAATTATAAGTAATACCGATTTCAATTCTACGCCTTGTCTTATCTGATCAAGTAAGTCATTTCTTGAATTTGGTTCTGAAGTGTTAGATGCTTTTACAGAATTTGATGTATCAACATGCTAAAGAACAAAATAAAATGACTATAATATTTTATATTTGTATTACGTGATTTATTTCATAAAAAGTATTATACATACCTTAAGTGTTTTACCAGATCTGATAGCTTCTAAAAGTGCAGATCTAGAGTCTGGAACAGCTTCAACAGGCTTACTTTTGATTAATTCCATTTGAGGTGGAGGTGGTGGTGGTGGAGCTGCATTCATTAATGGTGGAGGCGGGGGAATAAAGAATTCTTCTAAAATACAAACATAAATAAAATAATATTTATTACTTAAAATTTATAATGCAACTTAAAATTTTATGATTAAAAGAAAATATTTTATTTTTATAAAAATGATAATTTATATGATTGAACAAAAATTGTTAAGCACAAATGATGATAAACTATAAAAAAACTTATTTATACCTTCATATAAGAGCATGAGTGACTAAATCTGATAGTAATTATTTAAAATTTAAAATGAGTTAAAGGAATTTATATGTACTGTATAATAATTTTACAGTATTTTAGGAAATTTTTATGAAATACCCTTTCTTATTTGTCTCAAAAAAAAAAAATTATCAGCTACATAACTAACAATGAAGTCCAGCTTGTCTTTTTTTTTTATAAAATAGTCAACTTTTTGTAGTTAAGCTTTACTACATAAGACTCAATATAATCTAATTTAGTTCATAACATCACACATATTTTTTTAATAATATATAAATAGTATTTAATACGTATAACTTACCTTGTTTTTTAACTGGAATAGTCATATTATTAGGTCGAGGGGGTGGTGGTGCTGGGCTTCTTGTATTTGGTGTATTATTTGAAATAGGTGGAGGTGGTGGAGCTTGACGAAATCTTGTTGGCAAAGGAGGTGGAACAATTGAATCTTGAACATCTTCTTTAATAGCATCCATACCACCATGTTTATCAATAAAGTCATAAATAAAATCTCGAGTCTGAGGATTACGCAGTTGGCTTTCTGAAACCCCAGCCTATTATAAAAAAATATCATTATAACTAGTTATACTTTCAAACAAATATCAAAATTATTCTAAAAAAATATTTAATATTAATCCTTTGAAGTAAGATTTTGAATAATATTTAATTTGACTATTATAAAACTAAAAAATTATAAGTGTTGTTTGTATAACCTATGCAAAAATAAACAACTTACCTTGGCAAAAAATGTATTTAATTGAGGATCTTTAATTTGCCCTAAATCAAATCCTCGATCTGGATCCCAACCTATATGTTGCACATGTCTGAAATTTTCTGGTAAACCAATTTGATCTTTAGTGTATTTCTTATTTTTTGAATTTTTGCCTTTATTTTTATGACCTTTACCTAAATAAAAAATAAAAAAATATGATAGATAAATTGTTAAAAATACATAGCCATTTAATTACGTACCATTCATTTGAACTGGTGGTCCATAAGCATTATTAGAATTACTTACAGGTTGTAAAACATTATTTTGATTATTGTGCGACTTAGACCTTTGTTCTAAAAATTTCAATTAATTATTATTAATTACAATATAATAATGCTGAAATCATATATGTTTATAGTATGTACATTAGTAGCATAAGTAGAATTAATCTGATCAGATTTTTTAATAAGATTAATCATAGTACCATTGGAGGTTTCATCCCCAAACCCTCCTTAACTAAATTAATAAATAATGCCTATATTAAATTCAAAATGTATTCCAAATGTTAATTTGTACATGCATTTTAACTCTAACATCTTGTACATAATCTGGAAAAAATAACATTTTAAAAGCATAAGAAAATTTATAATAATTCAATTAAAAAAAAAATTATTGATATTAGTAGATAATAAAATTTAACAGATAAAAATTTTTCAAAATTCAAACAAAAACAATTTAATACTAGTATTTGCATTATTTTTTGCATTAACAATTGTATATTGTTGGTGAAAACAAATTATAGAGTTAATATCATTTCATTTAACATATGCTTAGAGTATTAAATCTATTCATCAAGAGGTTTTTCAGACCATCATAAAGAAAGTAATAATTAATAAACCGATTAGGGCAACATTTGACAATATCCTTTTATCAATCAAAAAATATAACTGAAACTTAGATTCTTGATCCTACCTTTGCATATGCCACTAATGTATTTGATAAATTATGACTTGAAAATGTTATTCATGTTAAACTTAAGAACACCATCAGTATTAATTGTCTGTCTTACAGGTATATAAGATCATGGGCACTCATTAGTAAAATTTTAAGGGGGGAAGGAAATAAAAAAAAATCTCAAAATTAAGCTAAATAAAGTTTTAAGATTATTTTAAAATATAGATATAAACATGCTATAATTATGAGCTATTATTTATATAATTAATATTTTTGTACTGATATATTATAGTTAATTAAAATATATTTTTATTAGTTAAGGGAAAAAATAAAAAATAAAATATAATCAAATACATTATTTTATATTGATAAACATGACCTGAACATTTCATTGTTTTATTCATATTATCTTAAAGTAGTTAAGCAATTTATTTTATAGTGTCTAAGTCATTATATAATGATAATACTTATTAAATTATAAATTTATATTATTTTTCCTGAGGAGGGGAGATTAAGTCTCCATTTTTCATCCCTCCCCCCACATATTCAATGGGCACAACATGAGTAAGATTGGAATTAAATGTGAACTGCTAAACACTACTTTATTATATCATGATTGTTATGCACTTGTAATATTGAGACAATAAATAAAGGTGCGGTGTCCTCTTATATTACCAGCTATACTTGTACATTAAGATTAGTTTAAATTAAGATAAATATTACATGCTAAGTTGTTAACTAGTAAATTCATAGGTGTAATTAGGGGGTTTGGGGGGCTTAGCTCCCTCAAAATTCAGACGAAACCCTTCACGTGTCAGCACATGTCTACCCCTAAAGAAGCTACAGCTCCCTCCCAAAAAAAATTTGAACTTTCTACACCTATGAGTAATTTAATAAAATATTAAATTATTTTAATTGTACAGTAGATTATACCAAGAGTAAATATAAATTCAAATATAAAAACATGTGTTAATGTAATATCAACAAATTTCAAAATGTTTTAAACTAAATAAAGTTACCCAAACGTTTTTCCCGCTTTCTTCGTTGTAGATTAATTACTGTTTCTTCAAACACTGTAGCTTCATCTTCACTTGCAAAATTGAATCCAACAATACATTCCTATATTATATAATTGTAATATGACTAAAATATATTCATGAAATATTTGCTTTATAATATATTTAAGAGGATGCTACAATCACATGTGATGTCTCTGTTTGTTTACAATATGGTAAATTTGCATTCAGCAGAATCAATTTTGTGTTGTAGATTTTAATATTAGAGTAAATTTATCAAACTTAAAGCCTATAGGTGAGAATATAATCTGTGTTTCTATGTTGGAATACTTCAATTTTTAAGTTATGAGTATGCAAAATATAAGTTAAAAAAATACTCGTAATTTAAAAAAAGTATTAAATATCATAAAAATCCAACATGAAAAATATAATGTTCTTACCTTGAAATTTAATAATAAATCAATTAACTTTAATATTAAAAGTTATGATACAAATGACTTTTTTAAATGCAAACTTTGTTATTTTTAAAATTTTTAAGATTAAGATAGCACACGCGGGTGTGGCATACTCTTTAATTGAACATTATAATTAATAATTTACATTTTTATTTATTTTTTTAGTTATCAGTTGTATCAAATATATCCAGTTTTAAGTTTTATAAATAACAAATAACATTCATAATAAGCCTATAAAAAAAAAATATATAGATTTTTATTTGATTGATTAAAATTAAATAATTTTGTAGCTATAAATTGATGATAATTTTTTTCTTCATAATTTGTGCATAAGAATATTGTCATCATAACAAAACTCATATATGGTAAATATTCATAATTTTTGTAAAACTGTGTTAATTGGATATAATAAATTGATGAAAACAATTTGATGAATATTAATGTACAATGTCTATTGTAGTTATTTTGAATTACCTCGGCTTCAAAACAATGAAAAAATTTAGTAGGACTTTGATATTGCAATCCATTATACATTTCATGTTCCCATAATAACTGGTGTCTTATTGGACAATACAATCGGAAATAATATGATTTTCTGTTTGGGTCTCTAACAAAACAAAGAATTCCAAAATGTTTTTGCCTCCATTCAGTACCTTCAGGGCCATCAGTGCTAAAAAACTGAACTACAGCCATAGCTAAACTCTAAAAATAATTATCAAAGTATATAATTATAGTAAAAATTCTATTAATTATAAATAATAACAAAATAAATAATTTACTTGACATTTTGGACCCAGAAGTTGTAACACAGATTCATTTTCATCCTTGCTTAAAAGCTGTGAACATTTTTGTTCATGATATAATCCTGGTTTCATTTTTATTAATGTTGGTTGTTTGCTCTAGTTAAATACAAATATAAATAAAGCGTTAATATTGAAAACTTGATGATACAATTTTACATATATTACAAGAAACGCAGTGCACAAATGTCAAATGCATAATATTAATTATTAATGATTAATATAATATATTATATTAATATAATATTACAGTACGAATTGATAAGTGATAACATCTGTTAAACATAAATTATCAATATACATAATATTTTGACTCAGTGATGTACTGATATTAGCGTAAATGATGATACTTATCAACTATATAAAAATTTAAAATACAAAACCAACAACGTTAAAAATGCAACATTTTTTTTTTTAATTGTCTGAACTTACAAAATATATCATAATCATATTATAAGTTATAGGTAATTGTATACAAACCGCAATACACAATTAATGTGGGAGGTCAGGTACTCAGATTCTACCTTAAATTCTATACTTATACAATGTACTTATCTTATGTACCTAATTAATTATTATCTAAGGCTATATTATAATGGCATAATAAAATTGTGAAGCGATATTTTATTAGTGGTTTTCAGAAAAAAATATTGGTAATATTGTTTTTCATACTTATAAAAATTGTTATTTATTTTATTATATGATAGTACATGTACTAATATTCACTACTTTATGTATTATAATAGATACATTTCTACCATAGCGCCCATAGCGGTATTATATTTACGAATTGTCTACACTAGACAGTACATCAGTATCAACAATAATTATGCAAATTTATTCTCGATGGTCTATACTAAATATGTAGGTACCTAGTACATACTATAGTCTATAGCATTAGAATTGATTATGGAATAGTCAATAGTCTATAATAAATGCTTAAAGTAATGAAATTATTTGGGATGGGATTGTAATTTATAATATTGTTGTTGTTATTTGTTGAACATGCTTAAATATTTGTGAACATGTAGGTACCTCTACATAATGATATTATGTTAAACAGAAAAATAAGAATAAACAATAATTATGGCTCGCATAAAAATACATACCTAATATATATAGACATTAGACATGTATATGACATGACATGTTGTAGTATCACATTATTATTCAAAATATTTTTAAAAATTTGAAGTTTATCTTTATACCTACCTACCTGTTAAATCTTTCGATCACTTTGTTTCGGTTTAACTGTATTAAAATATTTATAATAAAGATATGTGTTTGTAATGGTAAATATTAAAATATAGTATAAACATTTTATAAAATTTTATAATTTTTACTTTATAGAATATATACTGAAAAAAATAGATTGATAGCAAGGCTTTTGTCAAGTTAAATTATTTTTAACTAAAAATAAATTGGTGGTTTCTAGTAAATCTAGGTATATTTATATATTGTTGAATTATATTAAATTTTTGCTTTTTATTCGAAAATGTGAGTGCATAATTGATCTTACTAATTGTCATATATATTATATATCACAGAATAAATTAAATTTCATTTATTTTGTGTTTATACACTGTATTCATGTATAATTAAGGTGCTGTATTGTGTTATGATGACAATTTAGATGTTGGCAGAATTAATTGGCTTTGTATGAAGTAGGTAGGTATTGGCGATATTGCAATGTACAAATCATAAAATTGATCTATTTCCTATAAAGAAAAAAATGTACATAAATTAATGTCATTAAAAAGTAAAATAAGTATGTTATTAAAAAGAACCACAAATACATGTAAATTATTTTATTCAAACTTCAATCAATCGTTTTATAAAAACTTATCTTCAATACTTACATTGGTCTCAATTTGATAAATAAAGTACAAACCAATGTAAATTGTGAAATGTCAAGTGTGAATCAACCAAAAACTCCATAAATTAATTGAAGAAAAACAATAAATTAAGAATAAATTTAAAAATACATCCATAAGTTTGAGTTTATCCAAAAAAAATTCTTTTTCATATTTTTCAATAATTATTTTGTTTTATTTTTTTTTAATTTTTCCGTTTTTCGACTTGTACAAATAACTTTACTGTGTACTAAAATTGGGTAATTTGTTTTTATTATTATTTATTAATACATTATAATATATGTAATTAATTTTAACTGTTTGGTATGTAATATAGGTATATTTGAGATATGACAACAACAGCGGCAGCAATAAGAAGCACCTCACCTTACATCTGCGGGCAAAACTATATAGAAATCGACCGAGCGGCACCAGCTACCGTAGCTTGGAGCGCAGTGTGGGGCGCGGCCGAGTCACTTGGTCAGCATGTTAGACACGATGCACGAGTTCCACATGGCGGCCGGCACCGGGTCATACGCTTCGCAACTGTCCACCGCGTCCAAGTCGCCGGCCAGCAAGATCCACCGCCAGGGACGTATACAGGGGGATGTTTTGAGTGTTCAAACACCCCCCCTCGAAATATTTAGTTATTTGTATGATTATTTACTTATTCAATTTTAATGTTAATTGTTATATTATACCTACTTTTAGACAGGTATAATATTACATTGTATTTGTGAAAAATCAGATAAAGCAAAATAAAAATTTAATACTAACAAATTAAATTCTTATATAATTTGAAGAAAAAAATTAAAATACTTTAACATGATTTATAAATAATAAAATTATACCTATTGTGTATTGACATACTTCTTATTAGGTATGCCGTATGCCTATTGTGTGCTTATTTTCTATATTTATTAAAAAAATTTCTATTTTTTAATACCTAACTGATTTTCAAAAATACCCCTCAAAACTTTTTTCTATGTACATTCCTGCCCACCGGCAACGCTTGTCCACATGTGTGTCCCGCAGCAACCACTCGTAACGTTTTGAGTGTTATGACGTTATGAGTTATGACTGTTCCATTACCCCTGGTGGAGCGACGGTAACATCCACACGTAGGTTCAAGGTTATTAAGTAACTGTCCTTTTTGATGAACAACGTGGAGCTGATTGTCTGATTGGCCGAAAATCACGGTCTTTGCGTCCCCTACCAAAACCATCTGGTACTTTTAAAAATAAAAATATATCATTTTTGAATTAGGTATGCCGAGTACAAATATGATATATAAGAGAAACCATAATTTTTTTCCACTCCGCTTTATAAAAATATAACAATAACGATTTTGAAATTGTAAAGAGTGGTTCTGTAATCTTTAGTAGTGTATGCCACAGGATCCAGGGCCCAGGGATATCCCAAAAAATATTTGTCCATTACTCCGCTTATTAAAATTATAAATATTTGTAAATTGTGACTATAGCGCGTCTAAGCCGGTTTAACTAATTAACTATTAGTTTAAAATTAAATTTTTGTGTATCAATACTTAAAAAAATATTCTAATTTCTAATTTATATTATAATAGTAATATGAGTATAAGATAGTGTATTCATCATAAATGTACTTATGTATCGACTATGATGCTATTCAATAGTTCTTAAGAAGACCGTGGTTAAAGTCACGGTTATGTAGTAAATGTCGGTGGTATTGTTAAATTTGAATTCAATGATAAACTATTGTACATAAATACGATAAAAACAACTCTGAGCAGAGGCGGTCTGCAATCAATAAATATCTAAGAACATTTAAATATTGAAATATATGTACAATGTACATGGCTATTATTAATTAATAATGATTATTATTACTATTTTCATTATAAATAAGTGATACAGTACTACAGTAGAATGTAGATTGAACGATTTTCGACCAAAATGAATCGTATATTTCATATAATTGCATAATAAATCAAACTTTAAACGCCTATTATAAAAAAACAATTGAGACTATAAATTTGTTTTCGATAATTTTTAATTATGGTAAGAAAATCTTATAGGTACTCATTTATCAAGCTTTTTTACTCGAACAAAAGTTGTAGGTAACTTAAAGTATTTTTTAAATTATTGTTGATAAAAAAATTCCTGGGTAAATTTTATAATTATCAATGGTAATGAAACGAATAATGAGACGATAATTTTTAATAATGTAGGTATTACTTATTTATAAGAATTTTTGTTCGTCATTATAACCACTTTTACATCATTCACTTATTACGATAGAGTCAAAAATCTAAAATAGTTATAAAGTAGTAGCACACGGTATAACCTCGCATGTGATAAGATTTCATACTGGTTTTTTGTACATTAAATTATATATGCATTAGAAATTCAAATATTAAAGAAAATCAAGTATCTTTGTAAGAATTTGAAACTTTTATTATTTATAATCATTATTTTTATGTATATTATTATATTTTATTAGCTGCATAATCGCATGCACTTGGTTGCCAGTAAAAAATAGGTACATCAGTGTTTAATATGGTTGCCTAATGAGTAGGTAATGCTATAACATTTAATGTAATGCATTACGCCAGAATGCCAGATGGATAAACAATATTTTCAGTACTGCTGAATTTTGAAATGAAGCACCCAAAAATAGATTAGTTGCAAGCATACAAATTTCATCTATACTGGAAATATATAAATTCACTTAAATATTAATTTTTTTCATCTATGTCACCAAGGTAACCTAAAAATCAACAAAAAAAAAAAAAATAAATAAAAAAAAAATGCCTATGCCTATATTTATTTTAATTTCTAAAAATCATTTTTCAAAGGGCTATTAAAGAATTTTATTTCAATGGCTACAAACTTTTTTTGCACAACGTGAAACATTTTGCAAAAAACCATGAGAAATCGGTCCAATAGTTCTTGAGTTAATATTAATCTCTGATGAATATACTAGGATCCATTATTATACATTATGTACCTAAGATAAACACAGCGACGTTTTCAGAATATACCGATTAATTTTAAACTATTATCTATCCATTTGAACCATGAATCAATAAAATTGTTTTACGGTAAGGTGTTTAAAGTCAAAAGTTAATAAAATTAATGTAATATGATATAAATTATAAATAGATTCTATAATAATAATTAAAAATCAATAATATGACTATCGATTAATGCAATGTTTTCGGTAAAAATTAAATTAACCAACTACCTACCTACCTTAAGTACCAACCTTAATATACTAATAATAAAATAAATTAATATAAAAAAACTAATCATGAAATAATATTAATTATTATTTACTTAGTTTATAGGCTAAACCGTATCTCCGTTTAAAATGGTTTTTCGTATACAATGATAAATTATTTAATTATCCAAAAACGGCAAAAACACCATCATATCCATTATAGTGACCCTACTCGACATCTACTGTACAGAAGCGAGTGATACATGATATTATACTAGTCCGCCTATTTTATTACCGCGGTTTCGGTGCACAATTGACTTGAAAATCCTTTGCACCAACGCAATTTTCGTCTTGCGTTTGCCCAACAGCTTTAAGCAGAGACGGCGATTTTCATGCGGGACACTA